GGCAGATCATGAGAGGGAGGGCAGGAAGGGTTGCCTCAGTGCTTAGTTCTTGTGGCCCTTTCTTACACACCCAGGGAAATGCTGCTTGCCATTTTGGGATCAGGAAGCAATCCTGGAGGGCTTTTTGTTATCTTCTGGGTGTGGAACAGTGGTCACTGCGGGTGTGGAGGAGGAGGTATTTGTGAGTTTCCTGCCTTGCAAGGGGTTGGACTAGATGACACTGGAAGTCTCTTCCAACTCTATGATTCTACGATTCTACTTTCACAGTTTCCTGACTTGAATGCTCTGCCTGCTTCAGACACCTTTTCTTATGTTGGCCTCACTCTGCTATAACCTCTACAGATTTCTGTCCCTCCTAACTTTTAAACAGTACCCAGTGATCCTGGATAATGCAGCTAGTATTTTTGTTTGATCCAGCTAGCATTAAGAACATAAGAGAAGCCAGTTTTGGATCAGGCCAATGGCCCATCCAGTCCAACACTCTGTCACACAGTGGCCAAAAATACCAGGTGCCATCAGGAGGTCCAGCAGTGGGGCCAGGACACTAGGAGCCCTCCCACTGTTGCCCCCCTCCCCAGCACCAAGAATACAGAGCATCTCTTGCCCCAGACCGAGAGTTCCTATCTATACTTCTTCAAACAGCTTTGGTTTCACCGTATCTTTTATCCTTGGTGTCCTGCATTGTGCACTGATATTTCTTCGTAGTGTACTGTGCAAGGACGTCAAGAACCTGATGCATCTAGGGAGCTCAACTGTTCTTCTTTCCTTCTTCCAGCCGTAGGAACGCATTTTAGAAGAGTAACCTTGTAATCTTCATGTTTTTGCTGAATGTAGCCGCATTCATTATTCACACCATCAGTGTCAAGCCTTCGTTCTGTGTTTACAAATCAAGCAACATAGTTCCTGATTTTTGTCAGCTGTCTATCCGCTGCCATCGAACAGCTAAACAGCTATTTGTTCTAGGCCATGTGATGATTGCATAATTTCCTCCCCCCCTTCATTTCAGGACAGGAAGCTGACCAAAGCAGAGCAGCAGAGATTTAAAGAAGAAGCCGAGATGCTCAAAGGACTGCAGCACCCCAACATTGTCCGGTTTTACGACTCCTGGGAATCAACGGTCAAAGGAAAGAAGTGTATTGTGCTGGTAACGGAACTGATGACATCTGGAACTCTGAAGACGTACGTGTTCCCCTGACCTTTCCCGGGCGGGTCTGTAGGCTTCCCAAGTCCCCCCAGGGGGCGGGGAAACCCCCACCCCAGAGGCCCGTTTTCCGCCGCTGGCGGATCGGGCCCCAGGGGGAACCCCAACCCGACGTGCGTGTGACCCGGAAGTGAAGCGACCACGCCGGGCACGCTGGGGGCGGGGCCACGGTCATCAAGGGAAAACTCTATGGTACTTGAAAAAGTGTGTGTGCGCACAAAAACTCACACCTTGAATAAAACTTTGTTGGCCTTAAAGGTGCAAAAGAAGTCTGATAAAGGACCAATATTAAAAACCTAGTTGAAACTTATAATATACACAAATACATGTATTTATTAGAAAGACAGTTAAAAACATATAAGGGCCCAGTGAAAGCCTCATTAAAAAGTTTAAGTGGCCTGAATGCAAGGGCCAATACACAGGACCTAACGTGTTTCTGCCCTACTGGGGGGCCTTCTTCAGTGGTCAAACAATATTGAGGTACACGTAACAATAATACATATTACAAAAAGATAACCGATAAGGGAATACTGGACCAAAAAAAGGAAGGCTGTAGAAAAAAGAAAAAAAGAAAATTGAATATGAATAATCAAATATTTTTTTAACTTACAGTGTAGTAAAAATGACTATATTACTTACTTAAAAAGCAAGATTTGTAGACACAAGACAAAGATGTTTGTGAGGCCTTTAAAGATGAAAGTCATGTGTCTGGTGCCAAATGCACAGTTGCTGAATTAGAACATCTAAAAAATAAAAGATATTTAAAAAGCTAATGCAGTAAATAAAAGCCAATATAATAGCAGAAATAAAAAATCAATAATATACAAGGTGCCACTGGACTCTAAATTTGTTCTACTGCTTCAGACCAACAGGGCTGTCCACCTGGATTTATCCAGAATAGACATTAAGTGTCTGTAATTCCCTGGATCTCCAATGGACTTAAAAAAAAATAATGGTGTTATATTTCCTACTTTCCAGTCCTCCTACAGGAAGACTGATTTTTAGCCCCTGCACGTACTGGTTAGAAGATCAACAATTTCACATGTGAGTTCTTTAAGAACCCTTGGATGCCTGCCATCTACACCTGATCGGATTTTTAATTTGCCCATTATTCCATAGAACTTTTATCTCTCGTCATCTTGACTCAGCCTTCCGAAAACAGGAAAATTTTAAAAAGTCAACGAACTTAATTTTTAAAAAACTTTTGACTTACACAGAGACAGCAGCACTCCTTTTTTTAGCAGAGTTCTGTAGGAGAGAGACCTTGCGAAGGAGACTCTGGCAAGCAATCATATCACTGCGTTTCATCGTATTGCATGTGATTATATCAAAACTTTGCAATGTTTGTTAGATGTTCCTGGTGAAAATGCCCCCGTGGCTCCTGAATAAGTTTTCGGGGAGATGGAGTCTGTTCCTATTGAGCTCCAAGGAAGCTGAATGGATCAAGATGAAGCTTGGAGCGGTTATTGACACAGCCAAACATTATTAGTGGTCAATGAACATGTAAATAGCATCTATTGCATTGATTGTATTAGCATGTATCAGGGGTCCCTGGCCTTCTTCAGCCTGCAGGCGCCTTCGGAATCCTGCCACAGGATGGTGGGTGAATCTACAAAATGTCTGCTGCGGGAGGTGGAGCCCAACCGCAAAATGTCACAGAGTGAAGTCATGCATAACTGTGATAGCAACGCCGACATTTCAGGCAGAAGCTCTGTTTAACGGGATGCCCTTTAAAATTAATACAGGGTTTAAAAATACTGTCTTGCATTTTATTTTTATTTATTTTTCCACTCCTACTCCGCCGAAGCAGGCTCAGGGCGGCTTAACGCAAGATAAAATCCATAATAACACTCAAGGTTTCATAAAACACTTAACAACATGCCAGTTAAAACAGTACCATATTAAATATTAAAGTGCTAGCTGTGTTCTTTGATACCATAACGATGGCAAGTTTCCGTATGAATACATTCCACAGTTGTTTACATATCCAGTTAACTGATCTTCTTCAGTATAATCGGCGCACCTAGGCTGTCGATAACCGACCAGGAACCAGGCTGTACAGGCTGTTATAGTCGTTGATAATAGTTGTTAATAGTGGTGGCGGCTCCTAGTTGAAAGCCTGGCGGAAGAGCTCCGTCTTGCAGGCCCTGCGGAACATATGCACAACCAGTGTTCCCTTTAAGCTGAGTTAGTGTGAGCGAGCTCACAGTTTTTTTAGCCTCACACATTTTCATCTTAGCTCAGGAAGGGACGGCTCCAGAGCAAACTAATGTATGTAGCAGCCAAATCGCTCGCTCACAACTTTCACGCCAGTAGCTCACGAAGTAGAATTTTTGCTCACAAGACTCCACAGTTTAGAGGGAGTGTTGCACATAACATACCTTTGGTCACACCGTAAAGATCCGTGTGCTGCGGTGGCCGCTGATGCGGAAAACAACTTATGAAAATGTGTACAGCCAGTCAGTGCCCCAGCAGCCAGTCAGAAGCCTTTCTGGGCAGAAGCCCCACCCATCCTTGCCCACTTTCTAAAAATACTTGGTGGGTGCCAGGAAAGGTGATGGCAGGCACCATGGTGCCCACGGGAACGTCATTGGGGACCCCTGCTATATTCATCCATCTGTAACTATCTGGTTCCTTTTTATTGTATTTATTCATTTTCCCGAACTCACAGATGTGATGGTGCTAATCAGTGGGTACAGATTCCCTTGCAGTCTGGGTGTTCCTCCTTTTGTCACTGGATACTGTGCTCTCAATACGCATGGAGTAAGATGCCTTCTGACCGTCTGCAGTTCTTGTGTCCTCCTCTAGGTACTTAAAGCGTTTCAAGGTCATGAAGCCAAAAGTCTTAAGGAGCTGGTGCCGACAGATCTTGAAAGGACTGCACTTCCTGCACACGAGGACCCCTCCTATCATCCACCGGGATCTGAAATGTGACAACATCTTCATCACAGGCCCCACTGGTTCGGTGAAGATTGGTGACCTAGGACTGGCTACCTTGATGCGCACATCGTTTGCTAAGAGCGTCATTGGTGAATATCGTGTGTTCACGTACTCCATTGGAGAATCCCCGGTGATGAGTGTTTGCAGGGCTATTTTTGGGCAGGAACACACAGGAACGGAGTTCCGGCTGACTCCTGAGTTGGCCATGCCCAGCAGGAACTCATTAGCATAGTAGGCCACACCTAACAGCATAAACTCATTAGGATTGGCTACATTAGAGGTGTGTTGCCTAACATGCAAAGGAGTTCCTGCTACAAAAAAAGCCCAGAGTTTTGACAACAAAGTAAACAGAATAAGAAGCAAAAGGTGGGTGTGGCTGGATGACCACACTTCTGGTAACATGGGGGTGTGGCCTAATATGCTAATGAGCTGTGCTGCCAGGGGTGTGGCTTAATATGCTAATGAGTTTTTCTGTTGGGTGTGGCCTATTATGCTAATGAGTTCCTGCTGGGCTTTTCCTACCAAAAAAGCCCTGGGTGTTTGTCCTTCCTAGAGATTAGATACTGCAGCTGTATCTGGGTAGAACTTTAGCTTTAGCAAAAGTAGTTCAAACATAAGATGGGTAGCCATATTAGTCTATCTGTAGCAGTGAAAAAGAGCAAGAGTCCAGGAGCACCTGAAAGACTAACAATATTTGTTAGCAAAAGTAGTTCAAACATAAGATGGGTAGCCATATTAGTCTATCTGTAGCAGTGAAAAAGAGCAAGAGTCCAGGAGCACCTGAAAGACTAACAATGTTTCTGGCAGGGGAGGAGCTTTCGTGAGTCACGGCTGAAGAAGTGAGCAGTGACTCAGGAAAGCTCCTACCCTGCTGCAAATTTTGTTAGCCTTTAAGGTGCTCCTGGACTCTGGCTCTTTTCTACAGTCCAAGCTTAAGTCCTCTGAAGTAGGCTGCCAACAACCTGGAGAAAAAATGTCCCCGCCTCAATAGAGTGTTAATGGGGTGTCATTTGTCAGGTAATGTTATTTATCTCCATGCTATAAAAAGCCTCACCTGCCTGCTTCCATGCATTAAGTGTCTAGGATTCCATTGAGGCTTCTGAGCTGTGCCACTACCCCCTGTGCCTATGCTATTTTGGAAATCGGGTTCCGTTTTACCAGCCGCTGTTGAAGATCATTGAAACGTCTTGATTTATACCTGGGAGAGGCGTCTGGCTGTTCTTTCCACAGTGGGAGTCTTCTGTTGCAGTTACTTTCTGTTTGGAGGTCTATGGACACTTATCTATGTATGGAATTATAGAGGAGCCTACTGTTGCGGGAGCGGGGGCCTGGCGGGAGCTGGTCCATGGGGTCACGAAGAGTTGGACTCGACTGTGCGACTGAACAACAACAACACTGTTGGTTTTGAATATGTTTTTCGTTTAAACTATGTTTAATTGTTCTGAGCAATCTATTGGATCAATGTCTATACACTCTATTGGGTTGTGACCAGTGTTCCCTCTAAGCTGAGTTAGTGTGAGGCAGATCACAGTTTTTTAGCCTTCAGCTCACACATTTTTGTATTTGCTCAGGAAGGAGGACTCCATAGCAAACTAATTGATGCAGCAGCCAAATCGCTCACTCACAACTTTAACGCCAGTAGCTCACAAAGTAGAAGTTTTGCTCACAAGATTCCACATCTTAGAGGGAACATTAGTTGTGACCACTAACCCTTCTTTGTAGTTCATTGAATATAATATATAGTTTTGAACCATAGTTGTGAACTGTAGATGGTCTTCCCTTGGTGGGTGTTGTTTGTGGCTTAAGTGTCTATGAGGCAGGGCGTTTTTTCCTCCAGGCTGTTAGCAACCCTGTCTGAAGGGCTGACTCTTGGCTGTTTCTAGTGTAGCGTATTAATCCAATGGATGGTATGAGTCTGACTGACAGATTTTGCCCTTAAACAGAACTTTCAAGCAAAGGGATTCTTATAAACCATGCTAGAAGTGGTGGATGCAAGGGATATTCCAGCACATTCCACAGTACTCTGAACATGTCTACATGTGGTTGCATTAAGGGGATATGCAGTCATTCATATAAATACATTCCCCCCCCCCCCCGTTTTCCAACAGAACTTTCAAGCAAAGGGATTCTTATAAACCATGCTAGAAGTGGTGGATGCAAGGGATATTCCAGCACATTCCACAGTACTCTGAACATGTCTACATGTGGTTGCATTAAGGGGATATGCAGTCATTCATATAAATACAATGAAAACATTACATCTGAGAGCAATACATTCTGCTATATCTTTTTGAGGTGCCAGATTGAGAACGATCAGTAGGGATGTTCCCATTTTGCTCATATAAACGAGCAAGCGGAGGAACAGTTTCTTCAACCATACTAACTGTCTGTGAAGTGTGAATGTGTATCTTGTGTAAGAGGCCCATGTGTGTAGTTCTGAACTTAAGTCCTCATTCTGCAGTTGGATTCTGTTTCCTCACATGTGAATACTAGAAGCAGCCCGGAGTTCGAAGTTTCAGAAGCGGGTCCTGAGCTGCCATAATGTGGCTCTTCCTCTGTATAGATCCAATTTCACACATGCTGTTTGCTAGGTTGCAACAACCCCTTGTTCATCATTTTGTCTTATGTGCGATCCCACATGGAATTGCGCACGCATGGGGCACCTGCGGCAGTTCCTATGTGTGCCTGGACAGAAGAACACTCGATGAACAACAGTTACATTTAAGGCCAACCGCACTGACAGGCTTAAACGGGTTTAATGGTTACTTCCTCTCCTAAGGAAGCCTTGGGAACTGTATATATCGGGGGCAGGGGGTTAGGGATCTCTGACATAAAATTCTCGACAGAAAAATTCTCAACGTGCTTATCAAACGACTACAGTTTCAAAGATTTTGGATGCGATGCCGTGGTGTTTAAAGTTAATACAAATTTGTAGTGTAGAGGTGACCTAGATAGGAAAAAAGCAAATAGCACGAGGCAGTTTGGAAGCAAGGAATGAGTGCCGTGCAGAGACAGAGTAGAAGAGGAGGAGGATTGGATTTATACCCTGCCCTTCACTCGGAGTCTCAGAGCGGCTTACAAACTCCTTCCCCTTCCCCTCCCCACCACAGACACCCTGCGAGGTAGGTGGGGCTGAGAGAGCTCTTTCGAGGACTGCTCTTGAGAGAACAGCTCTGACTAGAACTATGGCTTGCCCAAGGTCATCCAGCAGCTGCAAGTGGAGGAGTGGAGAATCAGATCTGGTTCTCCCAGATTAGAGTCTGTGCACTTAACCACTACACCAAACCGGCTCTCAGTACCTAACTGTAGCATCGTCCTGGGTAGCTGTGATGCATTTTGTCATCCTGTTTCAGATACTTCCGGTTTATTTATTTTATTTGTTTGTTTCCTTCATCTGTACCCCACCTTTTTGCCCCATGGGGACCCACAGCGGCTTACGTAATTCTCCTCGCCTAGCCTGTGAGGTTGGCTAGGCCGAGAGGGTGTGACTAGGCCCACAGTCACCCAGCAAGCCTCCATGGCAGAGTGGGGATTCGAACCCAGTTTCCCCAGATCCTAGTCTGACACTCTCCGCACTACAGCACGCCGTCTCTGTAGGAAGGAAGATGCCGTCGTCGTCGTCTCCCCCACCCTGGAAGTAGTGGGATTTCTGGATGACCGCGCGTGCAAGATTTGGGTGG